AGGTGGCTCAGTGGTAGAGTACTTACCTTGCATGCATGAGGCCCTCAGTTAGATTCCTCAGCATCACAGAAGCAGAAAAAGCCAGAAGTGGGGCTGAGGCTCAGTTGTAGAGCGCTAGTCTACAGATGAAGAGCTGAGGGCGCCCAGGCCCAGAGTTCAGGCCCCACAACCGACAAAAAAAAAAAAAAGAAAAACTAATAGCCTCCAAGTAAGAACAGTTGCTTAAGGAGTTGAGGACATTAAAAACTGTATCAATTATCAATTAATAAAACAAAGCAAATGTTTTCAGTGATTTTCTTGGCTATTGATGAGTAAAGATGTTACCAACTTCACTTGGTGTGGATTCAAGGAGTTAATACCAAGCACAAGAAAATGAACTTGTATGAATACTCCGTGTGCAACCCCATGACAAATAAAAATATTTTCAAAAGTGAACAAACACTAACTTAGTACAAACTGGAGTTTGAACTGCTATCACCTCCCTGATGACAGTAAAAATACATGGGGGACCAAAGAAAGAATTACCTGGACAAATACAGAGAGGACAAAAAGGGAAACTGCTAAAGCCTGTCTATTCACCCTTTCACCCCACAAGCAGGCTTGCACATAGCATGTGTAACTGGGGAAGCAGCATCAACAGGAAACTTCATCAGCTCTTGCAGGTTCAACTACCACTATCTGTTGAATTTTTATCACAAATATTAGAAGCTGAATGTCTTGACTTTGGCCACAGAGCAGTCAAGACAGTTTGTGAAGGTTTATTATGACCTTTTAACTACAAAGCCAAAACAAGTTTTTCTGAAGAATTTCCATCAACTGCCACTATTATCAAAGATGGAATAGCTTTGAAAATCTATTTTGCTACAGACCTGATTTCTTAATAAAGTGGACCCGAGTTTATAAGACACAGCAGTGCTTGCACAAGGAATTTATACTGAAGTATCATCATTTTAAGCTTCTCTATATAATTCTAATTCTGCCAAAGTTGAGAATTCCATTACTACACAAATTTGCAGCAGATATGAGTTAAAAGTTCAAAAAGTCTTTTTCAAACCTGAAAGTACAAATAGAATTTACATATTTCTAAATTCATTCACCTGTGCAACTGAAGTGCTCACATATTAGAGCACCAAGAAAAGTTATTAATCTGCAATGCAGTAACATGCTAAGAGACAAATACCAAAAACCATAGATACCTTCCAAGCAATGAATATACTCAATGAAGACACTTCGCCTGGGGCAAGATCAATATTTAGGAATATCTGTCAGTGGGAGACATTTTCAAAGATGAAACATGTAAAATCTCCTGTAGACTAACATTATGAGATGAAGACTTGTAAGTGGCTTTGATGGCACAAAAAACTATGAATTCCAATTAAGCAAAATGTTATCCACTTCTTCCCACAAAAGAGAACGAACTGCTTCTCATTGTAGACTATATTACAGTAGATGGTATTACCATCATTACTATTATGTTTTGAATTCTCAATGAATATTTGTCTTTCCTGTTAGTATGTAAGTACTTATTATTAGTCCACAAAATGTAAATAAACTATTTCCCTTTATAGAAAAGTTCCAATCCCCAGTTTAGTCAACTAAACTCATGTTTTGCTATCTTTTAACTTCCTTGGTTGTCATTTTACATTTATTCCTGATAAATTTTACCTTACCTGGGGCTGGGAAGGTGGCTCAGAGGTAGAGTGCTTGCCTCACATGCTTGAGGCCCTTGGTTTGATTCCTCAGCACCATATAAACAGAAAAAGTCAGAAGTGGCACTAAGGCTCAAGTGGTAGAGCGTTAGCCTTAAGCTGAAGAGCTGAGGGACACTGTCCACCCAAACCCAGAGTTCAAGCTCCACGACCGACCAAAAAAAATAAATAAATAACCTTATCAATCTTATCACTTAAATTACAACCTAAAATTCTAAGCCTAAAAGTGAGCTATTTCCCAATTTCTGTTCTTTATTCAAATCTTCAATAAAAAAAATGTCCTTAATAGGACAGGTGTCAAGTATGACACACTTATAGAGACATCCTCTCTTGTGTATGGGAATTCAAATGTTTTCGTTTCAGGCTTCTGATATTTGGGGAAGTTTTGTTTTATCCTTTTGTTGCCTGGACTGGCCCCAAACTCTCCCAAACTCAAAGAGGATAAGTTCTATAATTCTTTCATGCAAATCACTGAACCTAATACAGTCTTGGAGACTTCTCCAATGTTACAATTCTCAAGTTTTCACTAATACAAGAGCAATGTTTCTCAAAGTAAGGGTATTTTAGTGTAAAGCAGATGATTAGCCAGGCACAGTGACTTAGGCCTATAATTCTAGCTACCTAAGAGGCTGCAATCTGGATGCTTATGATTTGAAGCCAGCTGTTGCAGAAAAGTCTCTAAGACTCCATCACCCAAAATAACTAGCAAAAAAAAGGGGAGGAAGGCTAGAGGCATGGCTCAGATGGTAAGCACTAGTGGAGCAAGGAATCTGTGAGAAACCAGTTTTCCATTTCTTGTTGACCCCCACCTGTAGTTGTGAATCTCTAGCCTCAGCTGCATCAGCAGAATGCTGTCCACCTAGTCCGGGCCATCTTTAATGTCCAGCATCCAAAGAATTTCCCTGTGATCTTTCTAAAACAAAAGGAGACATGACAAAGTAAACAGGACTCAAGAAACAAAGGACCTCCACTCAACCTGTCGTATCATTTTTAAATGACTCCATGTTCTGGAACACATATATACGAGATATATATACTTCTCATATATATGTGCACATCTGAGGGAAGCTAGGAGGAGGGCAGAGAATCAGAGGGAAACAGGGGAAAACATATAATAGAGGGGACCATCAGCTCCACTGGACATTGATAAAAAAGAACTAAGCAACTCAAGGGCAGCAATGAGAGGGAGGGAATGAGAGGGAAAGAGGGAACAGCTGACACCAAGCAAAAGAAATGTACATATCACCCGATGTGGAAGAAATAGTTGTATCAAAGCTCACAGAATTCACAAACATTATAGACCATGATAATGACAATTTGCCTTGTGAAGGTTAAAATGTGTTTATGACTTTAACTAAGTATCACTATCTCACAATATGGTGAAATTCATGAAATTTATATAATCAATCTCAAAAAAATTATTAAAAAAAAAAAGAATATCCCCGTCCCTAATGATCTTGATGTAGCCTCTATATCACCTTGTTTGCAAAAATGCTACCTACATGTGGTTTTTGCCTTTATAAACCCTGCCCCCTTGGAGGTCACAGCTGCTCTTAGTTCTGAGACACCACAGCCCACGACAAGACCATTGCTGGCCAGCTAATAAAGACTCCTTTGGGACCATGCCTCCAAGGATTTCTCCACTCTGAGGTTATTTCAAAGCCAAGCAAGTACAAGGCCCTGAATTCAAACCTTAGTACCAGCCCAAAAAAAGGAAAAAAAAAAAATAAGGTGATTAGATTCTATACCAAATGTGTTAATTCAACAACTCTAAAGGCCAGCCCGGAAGTTGTGTGTATTTTTAATACTTTTTTTTTGGGGGGGGTGGAGGGGGGCAGTCCTGGGGCTTGAACTCAGGGCCTGGGCACTGTCCCTGAGCTTGTTCTGCTCAAGGCTACTGCTCTACAATTTGAGCCACAGCCACTTCCGGCTTTTTCTGTGTATGTGGTACTGCGGGACTCAAACCCAGAGCTTCACCACTGAGCCACATTCCCAGACCTAATACTGTTCTTTCAGAACCACTGGTGGTCCTGAAAGCTTCTAGAAGAACATTTCTTACTCAATGAATCTTTACCACCTAGCAGAAAAGCCCCTTGAGAAAACCCTTTACCCTTTAAATTTGATAGATAGGATAGAACTTATGGTATTTTAGTACTTTAAACAGGGAATATATGAATATATGTCTTGTGTATCAACTCACTTCTTCAAGAGAATGTGGAAACAAGTACTAGAAACCAGTGGGAAAAAGTTTGAGCAAGAGATACATACAGTTTTGGCATCTATTGTCAATTATTTCTATCTTCTTTCAACCAATAACAACAAAATTGTGTTTTATAAACTGTAGCATCTTCCAGACACCAGTGGCTCACGCCTGTAATTCAGTTATTCAGGAGGTTGAAATCTGAGGATCATGGTTCAAAGTCAGCCCAGGCAGGAAAGGCTTATGAGACTCTTATCTCCAAAGGTCAAAATGGCAAACTCTTAGGACAGTTGGCAATCCAACAATTCGTCATCAATCACAACTCAACTATAAGCTGCCAAAAATGAATTAAGACATAGCTGTAATTAAGTTTCCTCTGCTACCTGTCTTTAAGTCAATATCTTACAAGATGATTTGTGTTACTTTTTCCAAATGGGACCTACACAAAATAGTTTCCAAACTTTCTAATCACATTGGAATCACAGCTTTCTTCAGCCTCAAGTCTGAGGCTGACATGTGAAACCATATGAAGCCCTCACTTTTGACTTCTGTAACATCAAAGAGTCCATCATATTTTAAATTTTTGCCATTCATGATACTGTACTTAACAGAAGTCACAATTTTTCTCAACAGCAAAAGAGATGCATTCTCAGAGACAACCTGTCTCCAATCTTTCCTTTCTCCTAATTTCTACTCATGAGACAACCCTATATCGCCAAGTTCACTGAATCTCTAAAGGAACTGCTATTACCTGTAGTCTGCAATTCCTAAATTACATATAATGCTAAAATCAATGTGAACCACTCCACTTTAGACTGCAGAACACCAGAGTCATCTGCCTGATGCTCACATCTCAACAGTTAATCACCAGTTTAAGCACCCTGTTTCTCCTGCTCTGTGATTTATGAGCTCACTACAACTATACAATTTAAGTATTTCTGTTTATTTGTTTTTCTGGAGGTCAGTCATGGGGCCTGAACTTAGGGCCTGGGCCCTGTCCCTCAGCTCTTCAGCTCAAGGATAGCACTCTACCATTTGAGCCACAGCACCACTTCTGGTTTTTTCTGCTTATGTGGTGCTGAGGAATCAACCCATGGCCTCATGCAAGCAAGCAAGCACTCTACGGTTAAGCGATCTTCCCAGCCCTTAGGTATTGCTTTGCATCTTGCTATTACACATTTTTATTTTGTTTTTGTTTTTTTTTTTTTGGTCCGGCTGTAGGGCCTGAACTCTGGGCCTGGGCGCTGTCCCTCAGCTCTTCAGCTCAAGGCTAGCGCTCTACCACTTGAGCCACAGCGCCACTTCCGGCTTTTTTC